TAAAAGTTGTTTTTGGTTTTTTTTGCCAGTTCTACTTACAACACAGGAGGGAACGTATTGAAATAAACAAATGAGTTGTGAATTCATTCCAGACTACAAGTCCACACTGTGATGTGCATAGGCATCAGTTTGATTTGGATTACACTGGGATTTTGAGAAGGTGGTAGCCATCCTCTAGAATTAAGCATACAAGCAGCAGTGGATCACGCTGTAGTATTATGTGAACCATTCTTTGCCTGCTCCAACTTAAAAGCATTTGAGCATAATGTAACTTGGCAAATTCATGCCACTTTTAAAACTGTTTGTAGAAGTAATTAGCTTTTCTTAAAAGCATGTTATGAATCAATTTTTATTATTATTTAAAAAGTGCTGGGATTGTAAATAGCTCAAGCAAGATGATATAATGTTGAAATTCAAATCTCTGTTGGCTACCAGCTAGTCTGGTCTTTTGTACTAAGTACATCTCTTGAACATAAACCTTTTATGATGCTAACAGTGATTTCTACCAGAATGCTGAACCTTCAACATAACTTGCAAGCTAATTTCAATAACAACTTTGAAGATTCATTTTTAAATTTACAATTTAGGAGATTTACAGCCCTTTTCTGGCCTTAACTCTTCTAGGTGAGCCAACCCTGTTATTCAACACAGATCTCCATCAGTTGAACTGACTAATTTTAAAATGGGCATTTTTTCACATGGGCCTAATTCACTTGATGTAGAGCTAGCAACCTTAAAATAATATTTGAAATGATCTATGAATGTGTATCAGACCCTGATTTTTTTGTACAGTGTTTCTAACAAAATATAATAGTTTTATGTTTTTGCTTTATTCCTTGCTTCTTTCATTTGATGTAGTGATATCACCTTAAGGTGAGAAAAACTTGTCTTTTGTCACTTATATGTTACTTTCTGCAATGTGTTTGTGTGTTTTCCTTAACCTAATGTAAATATATCCTGTAGTTTAAATGCATGGTAATCGCATGATGATTTTACATCCAGTCAGAATAAGTGTTAATGACAGAGTGTGCCTAAAAAACTTCCTGAAATCTGAAGCAATTTACTCATTTCTCATAATCTCATTTACTCAGACATAAATCTAGGGTGATTCATTGAGAAAGAATGGGGTTCTCCTTTATTTCTATTCATGTAATTAAAATGTGAATACTGCCCTCTGGGTTTATTTTATTATTAGAATGAATCTGGAGTTGGCAATAATAATATATCCCTGAAATTTTCTTTGCCTAATCTAAGTATTTTAAAGGCATAGGGAACATGTAAATCAGAAGATATTTTTTTAGCAGATGGGGGTAAAATCAGGCTTACAAATTCTGTATCTGCAGAAACTATAGAAAGAAGGTGCCTTTCCTTCTAATCCCTCCAAAAGTATTAATAGTAATCAACTATTTCCTGTCACAGACATGACTCTGTAGTTGGGGGTGGGAACAGGACTGTTGTTTGTTTTGTTTTGCATTTTACTAGAAAAATTAATTCATCTCTAATTAATTTGGTATGGCAGATTTTAAACACTCTGACTAAAAAAAACAAGCTTGATTATCTACAGGTTATATTTAGGTAGCTAAATGAGGCATGTGTTCCTTTTCTGAAGGTTCCTATTCTTCAGGTACCTAAATATGGGGTTGCTGACTCCAGGCAACCACATTTGAAAACTGGCTCCTACATTCCTAGGCTTACGTTGCATAACGGAGACATAACCAATCAAAGTCTTTGAAACAACTGATCTGGTCCTAAAACCCTTACTGATGTGAGTAGGCTGTGATGTTGATGGATGCACTCCTGTGATTGCAGACTACAGGTTTTGGTCTGACAGGAGATATCCATATCAGACATTATATACACTAGAAACAAAAGACACAATATATACCTCCATATCCCCACTTCCCCCCTCCAAACCCACATAGACACACACAAAAACATACCTACTATATAGTGTAAATGTAACAACTACAATGTTTAAACTTGTCTGTTTAAAGGTCAGTCACTGAAACTTATATTTAGGTACCTACATAATAACCTGTTCTTTATTCTTGTCTGAAGTGTATATATGACCTGCTGTGCCTATATATCTATATAAATGGATATATGGAATTAGTGTGATGCTTTAGAAAGAGGGATACCATATTCTAATTTTTGTTCTTCATAATTTATCTGTAGTATATGGTTTACATGGTATTAAGTGACCTAAAAGTTATAATGCACATATAAGTCCTTGAGTATAAGGCTGAAAATAGATCATACTAATGCCGTTTGTTAGACAGGATCTGTTTTATTTAACATTTCAGTGGTTTCACTGAAGCCCGTATTATATCTATAAAAATAGTTCATAGTGGCACGTGCTATTTCCATTGTGAGAAATTTAAAGAATCTTCTCTCCTACTTGTATTTAACTAAGCTTCTGTAGGATACAAGAAAGTATGTTTTTGCCTCTATGGTTGCATCTACATGTGCACTTCCCTGTGGAGTTGACTAATTAGTTCCACAGTAAAGCATCACCATCTACATGTGCACCCATATTAGGGTACATTAAATTAATTAACTCTACTGTCCTATGGCACAGTAATATACACTGCCTCAACATACATGTAGATGGTGACTGGTGCTGTCTGGAGCACAAGGGTGCTCAGTGTGGGGCTAGCTGGCATGCAGCCCCCACACTGTAGCATCCTCATGCTCCAGCCAGCCCCAGCGCCACCTAATGCCACCATCCAAAGCCTGGGGCTGCCCCCCTGAGCTTACTGCCAGCCTGGGGCTGCTCCACCCCAGCTCTAACTGCTGCTGTCCCTGGTGCACATGTATATAGCATGCCTGGGACCCATTGACTCTGGCATGAACTGGCCAGAGTTTATTGCTCATGTAGATGCACCCTGTATGTTGTAAATGTAATTTAAATTTTAATTGGACCCTATTCTAAATGAATTCTCCCTCAGCTAATCAAATTAGGGGCAAAATGTACATATGTATTTATGCATCCATCCAGTTTACAGTTTAGTTTATGAAATGCTGTATATTTCTTAAGTGAAATAAATATCTGTACTCCCAGCTTATCAGAATACAGTTTTTCAATAGTGGTATGGTAAATATTTTGGTGTTGGAAAACAGTACATAAAACTAAAGCATCCATCCCATTAATTATTTAGAATGCTAGAAATTAAATAAATGGTATACAAACTTGTCACTTGTCTTCACCTTAGAAAATAGATATTTTGTTGTTGTCTTACCATATTGTGGTGGCAGTAGACATTTATTCTGCAGGTGTTAAGTTCTGTTGCATAATAACTTTAGGCTTGACTCAAACACCCTTGCTCATGGTGAAGAACTCCTTATTTTGCAACTGAAAAAACATTGATTCAATAAGAGTATGTGCACCCAAATCCATTCCTATGAGTTTGAAGCACATTATTCTTCAAAATACCTTTCTCAGAAGCAGCACAACTTCTTTAACATTCCTTATTCTTTCTTTTCTGCCTGGGAAAGTTGTGTAATATCCTTTATTAGAAGTTTTCAAGAAGAGATTGGATTCTGATGTACATACTCTTGGGCATCTATCTAGGAAGGTTTAAGGAATAGCAAATTCTGCACCTATGCATGGGGTAGGATGAGATGATCCTTGTGGTTCCTTCCAACTGTATGATACTTTGATTTAAAAATCCTTTTGGCTGTGTCCAGACAAGCGCAGCCATTTGTCTCCCTGGGGGCAAGTAGCAGTGGCACACTTTGTGCCACTGCTACTTGTCCCCGGAGAACATCTGTGCCATGCATGCTCTGGTGCATGGCAGGTTACCCTGGGTGGTATGGCGATGGTGGCAGGTGGCTTGGTCCAGTAACTGTGCTGGCTCCAGCAGCCTTACCTGGGGGCCTCAGGGACCTGCAGCTGCAGTACTCCTGCAGCTAGGAGACTGGGCAGTAGTTGGAGTGTGGTTCCAGCCAACCAGGCTCTGATTTTGGTCGGTGTGCACTGAGGCCATGTGTGCCCACCGCTCTGCTTTTTTTTTTTAGTGAGTTTTTTTGACTCCCGAATCTCCTCTACAAGGTAGCAGTGTGGGGGACACCTCCATTTGCAGCATGTGGTGCGGCAGATGGGTCTGTGGTGCCACATACTGCACGTCCATGCTCATCTGCACGTGGCCTTTGTATTTATTTCTCTTTTAGTTCATGTTGGCATTTGCTAGTTGGATTCTGATGGAATATGGCAGAAGCTGATAAGGACCTTTCAAGTTGATACCACATTCAAACATGTCAGGCAGAATCCTTGAGTTAGATAGCTCCTTGAAGAAAGTACAGTTGCTAATTAGGGATGGTACTCTTCATTATTCAGAGGTACATTAGGACAGTAAAAATATTTAATGGGGAGCTTGGCAATATAATAACTTTAACAGTCCCAGAGTCTTGGAATAAAATCTTTTTGTGTCTTTGAACTGAACCCTTTAATTAAAGGATTGTGGACATGATCAAATACAGAAATACTAGGATGGAAACAAAAGAACTTGAACTCAAAAGTTGGCATTTAAAAACCAGTGGTTTGACTAAAATTGCTTGTAAATATGTAACCTCCTTTCCATAAGTAATCCTATCATTAGGTGCTGGTTGACTCATAAGGGTTAGAATAAGTTATTACTGCTAAGGGACTAAATGCTAATTTAGAACTTGACCAACGGAGGAGCACCATGGAGTCCTTGTTCAGAGACTGCAGTAAGGGAAAATTAGAAAAAAAGATTGGGAGAGAGATTTGTGCCTGAAAAGCACTGGGAGTAGTACAGCCTTCGTGCCTCATATTATTCTCGTTCCATAACCATTAACACTTCTTTGATAACATGACCTCATCTGTCTGAAATCACTGCTGTGAATGCAACATGTAAAAAATATATAGCTTTTAAGAAGGTGTCTTCAGTACTGTCAGTTGGTGAAGTTTGTTGTAATGTGTATTCTGGCATTTATGTAGTTCATAAGATCCTGTAATTGTGTCCTACTAACTTTTGCAGCTGGATGAAGAGGCCTCGATGTGGTGTGCCTGACCAGACAAGAGGTAGCCCCAAATTTAACATTCGTCGGAAACGTTATGCATTAACGGGACAGAAGTGGCAACACAAACATATCACTTACAGGTACAAAAAAGGCAGAGATTTCAGCAATAGCACTGAGCATTTATCAAAATAAAATGAATGTTATGGAGATATAATTTGCTAAACATATGTTATGTGATGTTAAGATGTTGTGTATTTTGAAAATATTAATTTGAATACCCCGGGGGTAAGTACTCATGTCCTGTAAAAGCACTGAATGATTTTCTTGGATTGAAATTGTCTGCATTTATATAGAATGTTCTTTGAAGCTTTTCAACAACAAATTAACCTCCAATATGTCCTTAACTGTACTTTTCAGTCCTCTTGGCAACTTCTCAGGGAAAGTCACTCTAAAAGGTAGAACAAGCTAATGAAATGGTGGACTCTAATTTAAATATGCAAATTGGCCCATTGGAGGGAGGCAGCTGCTGCAAATGTAGATGCCTCCAGGTCTGTTTCAAACTATATCAATGAATTTGATTAAATTTTGGTGAGTCATTGGCCCTGCCATCTACCTCACACTTAATAATGAACATGAGTGGGTGTGGCCATGTATGTGTTTTTGTGTGAAACTGAATTTAACTTGCAGGTGTCAGGGTAGCTCTACAAAGGTGACCTTCTCTGGACTAATAAAACACAAAACAATGTACTCGTTATACTGTTGTCAGCCAAGGCGCTTCTCACATGTACACAGTATGTAACCCATTATTTATCAGCAATGCAGAGGGTTTCTGTAGAGTCACCTAGAAACATTGCATAAATGCACTGGGATTCTAGCAATATCTATCAAGGAACCCTGAACAGCACTGTGAATTTTCCAGAGATAAAAGTGTCCTAAAGTTCACTAATCAGTGTGGATATTAATAGCACTAATACTTTAATAAACTGCATGGCCAGTGATCTCCTAGTCTGACCTCTTGCATAACACAGGCCACAGAATTTTATGCAGTCACCTTTATAAATCCCATATCCTGTGGGTTAGGTGTTTTGTGTTTAACATTCAGCTTTGATTTAAAGATGTCAAGTGATGGAGACAGCTCTATATGTTTGGTTTATTGACTACTCAATCCAGAGAAGAGAGTGAGCAGAGTAGTGAGTGAGTGACCTTTTTTGGAGCTCCTGTGTTGGAGTTCGGAGTTTGAGGGTGAGGGTGCGTGCATGGCAAAGACAAGAAGTTGATGGAAACTAAGGAATTGACGGAAGAGACATGTAGAGAAACAAAGAAAGTAAGGATGACTGGATGGACGTTATACTTGACTGGGGACACTGGCTATAAATGTATGAAGTGTTTCTTAATTGAGCTCATGGGAATAGAGTTAATGCTGGAATTCAGCTATGGTCATGAGCAGGGACCCTGGTTTTCTCTAATGAAAAAAAAAAACAGTTTTTGGTTAAAAGAATAGTAACCCCAAATCCACATTTTTGTGTGATTTAAATTAAACACCACTATAGTGCGTGTGTGTGTGTAAAATAATGTTTCATTTTAATTGCGGAAAAATGTGAATTTGAGGTTGCTTTTTCTTAACTGAAAATTGGGGATTTTTTAAAATCAGAGACAACCAGGATCCCTGGTCATGAGGACATATAGCAGAGAGGAGGGAAGAGAATACACATGCACAAGTGAAGAAAGATTCTTATACCTGGAGGACAGATTCTTAGACCTGTAGAGTAACCCAGGGCAAAAGAAAAGACTGGTTATTGGAAGAAGAATAGGGTTGAGAAACAGGTTTCCTAGACCAGAGATAGAGAAGGAGAAAGAGGCAGAAACAAAAGACTGTAACAAGAAAGAAAAAGAGCAGCCAGCTCCAGAGGAGGAAAAGGTATGATATAGAGATTGAGAAAGCAAGAAGGAAGAGAGATCTTCAGAACAGAAGGGAGAGAACCAGAGATTTGCACTAATATCAGAAAGAAGTAGGTCTTTCTATTTGGAGCTTCTTTCTTGAAAACAACTGCCAGGCCTATTACAGGAGTCAGTCCAGATAATAGAGTGCCATACTGCCAGCCAGGCATAAAGGTATGAGATGCAGACCTGAGGTTGGTAAGTATCCTGAAGGGAGTAGGAAAGAATACACTTATCATCCTTCAGATTCGGACAAATGACACTGCAAGACTTGCAGTGGAAGCAATCAAAGATGATTGGATCAAAAGATGTTCGAAGAACCTCAAGCAGTTTTCAGCAAAATGTTTCTGGTCCATGGAAAAGGAGGGTAGAGGAGTAGAAGATCATGACTGTTAACACACTGCATTAGAGCTAAGCTATAGGGAAATTTTAGGATGTTCTAACATTGTGATGCACTCAGTGAAAAATAGCTTTTCTTGGAAGATACTGTCCACCTCCACCTGAATATCTGGGAAAATAGCCTTTTTAAATTGAAACTGGTACGAATGATAAGACTTTGGGGGGCGCTTATATAAATTCACAAGAAGTTTTAGCACACAGGAGGAGGGCAGTCAGAAAAATGAGAATACACCAAGGTGTAAAGTAATATCAGTGAATGGAAAGATGGTAGATAAAGAGAAAATAAATGCTCAGATTGAGGAGAGTAGTTAGGTAATACAATTAATGAAAGGATTGTCCCTAATCTGGCTAGGGCAGGGGCAGGCAATTATTTTGGGCAGAGGGCCATTTACTGAGTTTTGGCAAGCCATCGAGGGCTGCGTGACAGGCAGCCGGGGCAGATAAATATTAATTTTCTAAATTTTTTAGGGGCCCTGTGGGCTGGATAGAATGGCCTGGTGAGCCACATCTGGCCCATGGGCCTCATTTTGCCCACCCCTGGGCTAGGAAATGACCTATTGTCAATTAGAAACTACTATATAATAAATAACTGTATGACTGAAACATGATAGAATGGCAGTCATGACTGAAACATAGGCATTGTAAGTATGTACGTCTCAGAAAAAATAGATGTAAAGGTAGTGAAAGAACCCTTTATGCTAAAATTGTGAGAGAAAAGAAGAGAGAAGAGATACCATGGGGAAAATAAAATATGGTTAAGTTTAGGTCAAAATCACTTCAGGGAAATATGATAAAAAGGTTCTGCTAGGATAGTGCTTGGGGTCTGCCATAAGCCCATGGGGTAGGATGAGATGTGTATAGAGATTATTCAATACTAGTTGCAGGGATAAATGTTGCCTGGATGACTGACTTCTGAAATATAGGTCTGAAAATAAGCATAGCTAATAGCGATAGGATACCAGATATTCTTGGATATGATAGCTGGCAAATCTCTTAACCAACAAAAGGAACTACTATTTAGACTTTTCTGGATAAGTCATGAGGATATTATAGAAGGGCAGACCATAAAAATACAACCTTGGATTGAATGGCCATGAGTTGATTCAGGTGAAATTAAATGGAAATATGAACAAAAGTTTGTCTCTAATTAAGGTTCTCAATTTCAAACTGATGAACTTTGGAGACTAGAAAAGTCAACTACCAGGAGTTCCTTCAGGTCTAAAGCACTAAAACTGGAATTTGTGTCCCAAACAAGTGGAAAAAAATGGAAAAAATGTAGGAAGGGGCTCCATATCAAGCCACATCAGGAAGGATGTCAGGAATTTAAGCATACAGGATATAACTAAAGGGCGGGGGGAGGGGAGAAGCTCTAGGTAGGAAAGAAAGTGTTGTTTTAAGAATGTGAGGATAAAGTGAGAATTGCCAAAAGTGAAGCCAAGTTAGAGCTTGCAACGGATATTTAAACAAATAGCAAAAGACATTTCAGCCTTTTAAATAATAACAAAAAAGTACAAGGAAAGAAGTGGGGACACTATGTAGTAGGGATAGGGTGGAGATTAAGAATAGTCTATATATGTTACAAGAGGTAAATATTTTATCTCAGTTTTCTTTAGGATGGTATGGAACCATAGAAACAAAGGTAAAATGGATAATAAGAGAATTGAAGGCATGGGAATAGAAGCACAACTAAAATATTTTTATATACACAAGTTGGTAGGACCAAATAAACTCTATCCCAGCATTGTAAAGGAAGTGACAGCTGAAAGTTTGCAAGTTTGGTAGGAACTATTTTTAGTAAATCCATCAAGTCAGGGCTGCTTCCATCCAATTGGAGAATAGTAAATATAATACTTTAAGAAATAGTGGGGAAAGCCCTGATTGGCCTTTAAAGGGTTTAAAATATGTTTTGAAGGAAAGGAAATTAAAGATATGAAGGTCAATAGAATATGGAATACAATGCAACAGAGGTTTACCAAAGCTAGATCAGACCACATTAGCCATATAGCTTTCTTCAGTAAGTAAATGCATTTCCTAAGCAAAGGAAATGTGGAAGAACTCATCTGTCTGAACTTCAGTAAAGCATTTGATATAATGCTATATGGAGAGTTACTAGGAACGCTAGAGAAGATTAAGATTAGAAGAGAAAATATACAGTGGGTAAAAGGAACTGGATATAGAAAAGACATTGTAGTTCATGTAGTGTTGAAAGGGGAAGGAGTATTGAATATCATATATACTGGTGCCACCTTTAAATCAGAACTTCCTAAACCTCTGAATGCTGGAAGTTACAATGGGAAAGGGGCAGAGTACAGAAAATCCTGGAGATGCTCTTTTTATCCTCTAAGTATCTACTCTGCCACTATGCGGGACAAGAAAATTGACTAGATGGACCTATAGTCTGCCCAGTGAATGACACTTCTAATATTCTTATGATTTTCATTATCAGGCTGGAATCAGGTTACTAAGTATTCTCACGCATGTTAAGTTACAGATAAAATAATTACCTGTACATTTTATTTTGCCTTATCTTCCTCTCTCTCTCTCCAATTATGCAAATATATGTATTGGTGATTTTTATAATCCAGTTACTATGTGGATTATATGGCCTAATTTGTATACTACATTTGTTTTTGATTGTAGTATATTTAATATTAAAGTATATTGTAGTCACAATTGTTTGTATTTTTACCAAATTAAAAGATATGCCCTCAGCATTCAGAGGGATATTACTCAAGACAGAAACAAGAGTCCACTACAGAGTGAGGAGTGTTGACCCTATTACTTGGCATATAAATGTATATTT